ATATATATGAAGTCTTGAAAGTTTTTATATGATATGTATCAGTTGATTTTGCCGCTTGCTGTGCAAGAGCAAGGACCCGAATTTGATCCCCGGTACCAAAAAAAAAAAACCCCCACAAAACCGGGACTTTATTCTGGAGGAAAAAAAATCATATACAGAAGTAGTATTGTTGTCAGTAGTTGAGGGTTGGGGTATGGTACTGGGGTAAGGAGCTTTCCTAGCATGCATGAGGGCCTGGGTTCTTTCCCCAGCAATGCAAAAGAAAAGGAAGGAAGGAAGGAAGAAAGGGAGAGAGAGAGAGAGAGAGAGAGGGAAACATACCCTGCATAGCTCTTTCTGCACCCCGCATCCCAAAAGACAAGAGGAAAGTACACTAAGATGTATTTGGCTATGCAGTTCAATATCATTTTCCCTATGTTCCTTCATTATCTTGAAGTTTTTTTCTTTTCTTTTTTTTGTACCGGGGATTGAACTCGGGACCTTGCGCTTTTGAGGCAGGTGGTGGAACCACTGAGCTAAATCCCCGGCCCTTCTTGAAGTTTTTAATAGTACCTATTTCCAATAAAGAAACACATACAATAAATACCATTTTTAAAGATATATGAAGCACTACAATTCTAATACTTTAATTTTGGACAGGAAGAGGATGTTGGGGGTAGCCCAACAAATTTAGTTATTCTAAATTCTATTAGCACATCTAATTCACTGAGAAGCTTTTAAATCATTCTGACTGCAGTGACTCATCCGAGACCAATTAAATCAGTATGCTCAGGGGAAACGGTTGGGGATATCTTTTTTGTGGCCTGGTGTGGTGGTATATTCCTGTAATCCCAGCACTGGCTGAGGCAGGAGAATTGCAAGTTTGAACCTGCCCAGGCAACTTAGTGACTTAGTAAGACTCTGGCTCAAAGTTAAAAAAAAATTTTAAAGGCTGGGGACAACTGGTCAGGCCATTTTAATAATCTGTTTGGATTGAGAACTACTTATAAAACCTTTTAAATCATGGCTTTTAACTCGAATCTCCTGAGACTCTTTCTAGTGTGCATATTCTGATTCAGTAGGGGTGTGTATGTGGAGGGGTCACAATTCTGCTTTCTAGCAGGCTTCCTGGGGATGCCCGCTGTGCTCAGTGGATGGAGCACACTTTGAAAAGCAAGGCCTTATGTCTTATCAACTATGGGCAAAATATTTCCCTTACACTTCATTTCCTTTGGTTGTTACAAGAGCTCTGTGAGATAATATCATTTCCTATATATAAATAAGGAATTGGAGTCTCAGAGAAATTATACAAAAGACCCAGGTGGCTTGATGACTTCAGATGGCCCTCAAATTTTGTTGTGTTGCAAAGAAATAATTCAACTAAGCCCCTTATGAGCAGAGGTGGAAAGATTAAAGTGCCACGTAAGCTTTAGATCTATACAACCTGCGCTGTTGACTGAGCGTAAAACATAGAAAGCTTTCATAGGCCAGACTTGACTCAAATAGACAAACAGCAGCTAGGCCGTATGACTTTAGAGAGCTCCTTTGTTTGGTTTAGTATCTATGTATCATACATGAATACATATAACCTATATATAACATAAATTTGCTATTTTAACCATTTTAAATTGTAAAATTCAGTGGCATTAATTATATTAACAATCTCATACAACTATCACAACTACTTTCAAAGGTTTTCTCTACTCCAAGCAGAAATTCTGTACCCAGTTAGCCATAAATTCTCATTCAGCCTTCTGGCCCCTCATAAACTCTGATCTGTTTTCTGTCTCATGAATTTGCTTAATTCTCAATATTTCATAGAAGTGGAATCATACAATACTTACTCTTCATGCAGCCTAATATTCCAAGGTTCACCCTTGTTGTGACATACATTAAAATTTCATTCCCTTTCATGACTGAATGTATAGACCACATTCAGTCATCCCTTTATCAGCTGTTGGCAATGTGGGTTGTTTTCACCGCTGGGCTATTATGAATCATACTTTGAAGGTCATTTACGTACATGCATTTGTTTAAGTAGTGTCTGTTTTCAATTATTTGATGTGATTGGCGGGTTTTACGTAATTTCAAATTTAACTTTTTGAGGAATTTCCAAACTGTTTCTATAGTGGCTGCACCATTTTATGGTCTTACCAGCAATGTTTAAAAGTTCCTGTTTCTCCACATTCCCTCTCACCTTATTATCCCGCTGATTTTATTATAGCCATCCTCTAGGTGTGAAATGGCATCTCACTGAGATTTGTATTTGCATTTCCCTAATGGTTAGTGATGTTGAATATCTTTGCATGTACTTGTTGCCCCTTTTTTTTTTTTATAGTTTTTCAAGTTCCTTTGCCCCCCCACCCCGCCCCCCGCCTTTTTTTTTGTACTGGGGATCAAACTCGGGACCTTGTGCTTGTGAGGCAGGTGGTGGAACCACTGAGCTAAATCCCCGGTCCCTTCGCCCATTTTTCAGTTGGTTGGATTGTCTTTTTGTTATTAAGTTGTACGGGTCCTATGCATATTCTGCATATTAAACCCTTTTCAGGGATATGATTTGCAAATATTTTCTCTCATTATGTGGATTGTCTTTTTATTCTCTTTGTAGTGTTCTTTTTGTTTCTTTCAAGTATAAAATAAGTGCATACTTATGTAGAAAATGTGAAAGTATTGAGGAATTTCGAAAAGTATAAAAAATTGGAAAAAGCACCTAAAATTTCAACTGAAAGCTAGTTATAGTTTCTATTTTGGCATATTTGTTTACCATCACTTTGTATGTTTACAATTACTTTTACTTTATATATTTGCATGAATTTGGCTGAATCTACATATACTTTTTTTGTTTTTTTACTTAACGTATCACAACCATCTTGCTATGTCACTAACAACTCTATAGATTACATTCTACTGTATGGATAGACTGTAATTTACCTAATCACTTCCTAAAGTTGTATATGTAATTTACTTCCAGTGTTGTTCTATTAAAATAGAGCTAGCTGGGCACGGTGAGGCTCACTTGTAATTCCAGCTGTTTGGGAGGCTAAGGCAGATTTGCAAGTTCCATGCTAGCCTGTGCAACTAAGTGAGACCTTATTTCAAAATAAACAAATTTAAAGGGGCGAGGATATAGATCAGTGGTAGAGCACATGCCTAGGGTGTGTAAGGCCCTGGTTTAATCCCCAGCATTTCTAAAACCAACCAACCAATAACAAATATGCCAAAATCAACATCTTGTGGACTGACATTTCCACCCTCTTTGCATATTCTAGAATTTTAGAAGCGGAATTCACTGGATTAAAGACCTGCAGCAATTCCTTGGGTAATGTAGTTTTCTGTTCAAATGCAAATATACCTGGAAAGCCATCAGACCTTAGTCACGTTCACATTCACTAGCTGCTGCTTCCTGGAGAGACAGCATTTAGCATTACTGTGGTTGACCAAACAAGTTAACCCTAAAAGGATAGAGACTCAGAATGTGTTTATTAAAGATAAGGGCAGAAGAAAGGTGAGAAAGCAAGTGGAAAAAAAGTCCAAAGTGAGGAACTGTCCTGCAGACGTAGAGAACACTGTAAGGACACTGGGCACATAGGGAAGAGGGGGAGGTGGGGAAGTGTGAGATCACAACAAAGACAAACCTGACAACTGCATCTTTTGTCTCAGGCCATTCCTAGTCCCTGCTACATTCTGTAAATACTCATTGCTAGATGTTCAGACTCTTTGACCAAGTAAGAGTGTCCGGTGACGTGAGCTTCAGGGATTCCAAGTGAATGTGTGTATGACTGGCTAAATGTCATCTAAATTTTAGTGACAGTCTTCCCACCCAGCTTGATAGTTCCTATGCCTCTAAACACCAGAAACACAATGCTGAGAACTTTATGATTAAACTTGTGCCTACTTACACCGTCCGGAAGGAACTTGCACTCTGAACTTAAGAGTAGAAATTTCTCCTTGGAGCAATTAGTTTGTATAATTGAGTAGGCAACTTCATAGTTCCATCCCCTCACCACCTGCAACAATTTTGGATTGAGCATTTAAAGTACAGCTTTAAAAAAAATTTTTTTAAAAAAAAGTACAGCTTAAGCATTATTCATAGTGATACAAAAAACAATGTAGTTACTATAGTTCCTTAACTAATCACTGGGAATATTTCCTCTGTCAGGCTGCAGAAAGGAAATGCTTTGTTGAATGTTGTGAAATAATAATGCTTTTCTACGTAAGAAAACTTTGGAGCTGGAGTGGTCTTTCAGGTTCTCGGGACACCAGCTTTTGAGGTTTCTCCTGCTTCATTGTGGACTGGCCCCACTCTGATGGCTATAAATGGACACTGCTGAATAAAACATGCATCCTGGGGCTGGGGATTTAGCTCAGTGGTGCTGTGCCTGCCATGCAAGCCTAAGGTCCTGAGTTTGATCCTCAGTACCACAGTAAATAAATAAATAAATAAATAAATAAATAAATAAACAAATAAATCATGCATCTTGCATCCAGGCAAGTCACAAGCTTTATAAATTGAGAGACTGTTACTGACCAAAGTGAATCACTCATAAGAGGCTGAAATACAAGGGACCCATACAACTCTCAGAAAAAACATGGTGAACTGAGCCAATAAAAAGACCAGATTATTAGATACCTATTTTTACCACTCCCCTGTTGATAGGGAACTATAATTTAGAGAGTACCCAGACAGTCATGCCAACAGCTTCAGACACAATTTAGAATTTGGGGTCCATGCTTAACTCATGATATCAAGATGATGAAATACATTTCTTAAAATCCCCAAAAGATGATTTTCTTAAAACTCCAAAGCCAGAATGACTTTCCCATTTCACCGTCTCCAGGAAGATTATGTATTTAATTCTTTTTTTTTTTTGTACCGAGGATTGAACTTGGGACCTTGTGCTTGCCAGGCAGGCAGTGGAACCACTGAGCTAAATCCCTGGCCTTCCAGGAAGATTATGTAATGCTGTTATTTGTTCATTATAAATATACTTCAAAGGAAGAGGGAATGACCAGCCACTTCTCCTCCCTTTCCACATGGAATCACCCTTCTTACTTTGACCAAGGAGGAAACTCTGCCTGCTGCGCTATTCACAGAAAACACAGATGAGGTCCTCACTGCCAGCTGCCCACATATGTGTTCCTCCCACCACTGGCGGGGACCATCTCTCAGGAACATTACAAGTGTATGACAGCATGTATAGTTATTTTAAAATTTCTTAGAGTATCTTTAGTTATAAAAGCAATACAGGAATTTATCCTTTTAGAAAAATATAAAACATTACAGATAAGAACTGCAAGGAAGTGTGATATGTCAAAGGGGAAAGGTAACTAATCATACCCTCTTCCTCTTTGTTATTTAGTTTTTAGTGTTAAATGTAAAGCTGTAACAAATCTGCGTGACATGAAAAATTGAAAAAAACAAACCTGTCTTTCGGCTCTTCTCACTTCTCCCAGAGTAAAGAGGTAGGCATGCTTGGTGTTGTTGTTGAAGTGTTGGATACCATGTGTCAGAATGGACTCTAGCTCAGGGCTCTTGGTTGAAATGGGGTGTACACAGCCCAGGCAGGCATACTCTGTGGTCACCTCAGGGCCTCCCGCTTGACAAAGAACAGGCAAAAGGGCAGAGTTAACATCCAAAGCCAGCAATCAGACACATTGTCTTAAACCCAAAAAGATAACTTAGAAGATAACTGATAAACAAGATTTTCAGTAAACCCCTTCTATATTACAAAAAAGAGAATACAAGATTGGATTTTTAAATTCAGAGGAAAAAAATCACTAAGGAACATTTTATATGTATAATATCTTGCACATTATTTTAAATGTATCTTAAAGTACTTTTAGTTATAATACATGAACTTAGCCTTTTATAAGAATTTGCAACATTACAGACATGTCATTATTTTTCAATGTGAATGGAATTTCTTTGAAGCAGGGTTTAATAAATTTTTGTATCAATCTGATACAATAAATGTGCTCTTTGCTATTAGAGAAGTAAAAAGAGCCCAAAGACATGTTTGTTTTTCAATTTTTCATGTCACACAGCATTAATAAAATTTGTTAGATTTTTATGTTAGGGTTTTGTCACCTAAAATAAACCATTAGCGGAAGGAAAATGCCAAACAAGTGCATGGATGGCAGGAGGAGCTGCTGTTTTCGGGTGAATTGCACTGAAAGTGAAAGGCTTCCTCTTTGGGCACAGTGTGTAAGACGGTGCACTGTGCAAAGGAGGAATGATGGCTAACTGCATGGCCCTCCTGTGAAGTTTGCCCCTGCTGCAATATGCCAGGTGCTGAGCTGGGCTGGGTGGAAATGTTAATGCATTAGTGATGGTCACTCCTCTCCTTGACGACAGCCAATGGGAGAGACAGAACTGTAGCAGGGTTACTCCGAGATGATTCCCCAAGATCTTGGAAAGACAGGACCCCAGGGTGTGGTCAGGGAATACTAGGAAAACAGTGCAGATGCCTGAGCTGAGGATGAAGGTGATAGGAGGTGTCAATATGAGGTGTGAAGGACTGGGGACCGGGAGGGAGGGCTCCTGAGAAGCAGGTTGAGTGGGGGCCCAGCAAAGGCATGCACACATTTTACCAAAGCTTTGTGAATGGTTGGTAGAGGTGGCTGTGCTGTTGAGCCTGGGCCTCTCTCTAGGCCAGGAGCTGCTAACTGTGTCAGTAGATATTGGAAGGTCATGGGCATTTTGGCAAGTTTGGTGAAAGTTACCACCTCCTCCCCAGGAAAATGCACATACTCAGCATTTGCCATATAATTCCAGGATATTCATGGGCCCTCGGAAGTGAAGAATGGTTTCTGTAAGCAGGCAAGGGGTCACTGAAGGGACTCCAATAAAGCGAAGTCAAATATTTGAAAAGGAGTTTGTAATAAATGATCAAGTCGAGAGCCCCACCATTCCATCGATAAGTGCTCACAGATCCAGGGGAGCAGCTGTGAGACCCAGACCAGCGCGGCAGCAGGCAGATCCCAGCCAGGGCTCCACTCTGACCCCAGAGGCACCTGCACACCCGCCCAAGCCAAAGGTCTGCCCAGAAAAGAACTGCACAGGCCCACAAGCTTCAGCCAGAGGCCCACCATACCATTGGCCACAGACAGGGACCCACCTCGAGAAGAGCTACACAGGCACACAAGCAGTACCCAGAGGCTCACCCAGATACCATTGATAAGTGCGTGGAGACCCTAGCCAAACCCTGCGCCAACAACAAGAACTGGGGTGCACAGCCCCCAGCCAAAGGCCCTCCCAGACAATAGCTACATAGGGGTCCCAGCGAGAGGCACATCTAGATACCATCGCAAGTGTGCACAGGCCCCAGCCAGAAGCCCGCCCAGACAATAGGTCAACTCAGGGATCCAGAAGGCCACCACTCTGAACCTAGGAATTGGTGTACTGCTGAGCAGTAGATTAAAGGCTGCTCGGTAGTGGCTAGCTGAGAATTCAAGACCATTGGGTAAGCAAAAGTCGCCTCAACAAAGGCACAGCAGGCTGCATCTGTTGAAATGAGAAGACAAATAAATCTCAAACCCAGACTTCCAGATCACCAAAGGCAACCCCAAAGGGCAACGAAATGGAACAATCTGATACTCAACCACCTGAACACCCTCAACTGGCAACAAAAGAGGACCTGCAAAAATTAAATCAGAAATAATTTCTCAGATAACAGGAGAGATTGTGCCCATAGTACAAGACATGATTAATAAATCTAGAGTGGACACAGATTAAAAAAATTAGAGGAGCTGAAGAACATGATGGAATCCTAACATAGGAAACAAATGGAATCCATAAAACAGATGCATATTTCCAGGAGATTAAAAACTTCATTGAAAGTTTATGCAGCAGAATGAGCAAATGTGAGGATAGAATTTCAGACATAGAAGATAGGATTGCAATTACTGACCATGAAAAGAAAAATTTCTTAAAAATAGTAAGGGACCATGAGAAATCAATCCAGCAGCTGCTAGACCATGCAAAGAATAACATCAGATTGGTTGGAGTCAATGAAGAAACAGGAGAGAGTGCAGATGACATAAAAAAACAGTTCACAGAAATAATGGCAGAGAACTTCCTAAATAGGAGAAAAGAACTTGACATAATGTAAAGGTGTAAATTTCCAAAGATGAATGTCATTATATTGTATACCTAAAATGTACCAATAAAATAAAATT